ATAGTATTTATATAGCGCCAACAGTTTACGCAGCGCTTTACAATATAAGGAAGACATTACAGTTACAATACAATTCAAGACAAGATGGTAAGGAGGGCCCTGCCCCTGAGGGCTTACAATCTAAAAGAGGAGGGGGAAATGATACATGAGGTAGCTGTGGGAATGAATTATGTGAGAATGTGAAGGTTCAGTGGTTAGGTTGAGGTGGGATAGGCTTCCCTGAAGAGATGAGTCTTTAGGGAATATGTGTGTGTGTGTGTGTGTGTATATATATGTGTGTGTGTATGTATATATATGTGAATATATACCTACAGTAGATGTAGCGATACAGATTATATAGATATAATTTTTATAAAATCCTTGTTTTACAAAGTAACATTTAACACAGGGTGCCCCCCTGAAACTTCTTTTGAAAAGCACTATGAGGGTTTTTATAAATGTGGAGCTCAATAGTAACTTTGTGACTCTCTGGAACTGTAAATGAAAGGGTCTTGGTGTGAGGCACTGGAAATGTATTTTATTTTTATATATACATTTTTTTATGGTTAGTAGAGCTCCGTGGCTTTGGTTAGGCAGCTCCCATGGCACCCTGGGTGGAATCCTATAGGCAAGTATATAATCATAGTGCCACACTACTGGCCTTTGAATCCAATGCAATCATAAGAGGGTGATAGAATAATACAGCCAAGGAATTTGGGGGTTAAGAACATTCCCCCTTCCTAGGTCCTCCTTTATTTGGGGCTTAAAAAGCTGCGCTCTGAGCTCATTAAAAAGTTTTGATGTTTTGTGGGTTTTTTTTTGTGTAGAAAAAATGGCATCTGCAGCAGCCTGTTTCAGTGTATTCTACCATTTCTGGCTGTTTTTTATTCCGGGTTGATACACAATAACGATCACTTTAAAAACTAAGACCCGTAGTGTGGTGCTGTTATTACTGGCACATTTATATGGTCTTTATTTGATAAAGGAACATTCACGAACCCGGAGCAGCAAACGGAGCCATTGTCTGGGCTATTCTAATATGGTGGCAGCTGATAACGGGTTGCAATGTGTTTTTGCCAAGTATCTAGTTGAACAAGCTTAGCTATTGAGAGTCTCCTCACCTGTTTCAGCCAGAATGTACTGTTCTGCAGTTTTGTATTGAACTTTTGTCTTAAAGCTCCAACCAGGAGGAATGCAATGTTATTATCGAGGTGCTTCCTTACCTTGTGCAAAAATGCTGTCCATATATTTGTAAAGTCTGTTTTTACACTCGTCAGTGAAGGTTCTCATTCATCCAGGTTATAGTATATCTGTAAAAAAAAAAAATAAGTCAAGGTAATCGGGCAGGTTAATAACACCTCCTAGCTCCAATTATGCAAATACAATCAACACCTGGTTGCAATTAACAGATTATGTGGATTGGAGCAACATTCACCATATTTATTCCCGGATAATTTTTGTATGAGTCATTCTGAATTGGGAAAGGCGGTTGGATGACAAGTAAATTGTCTTCAAGAAATATACAGCAAGTTCAGTTGCCTTGATGTATTTTTTCAGATATGTTTTTACACTCGTTCTTCTCTTCCAAACATGCCCTTTATTCCTCCTCCTTATTGTACTTTCTGGTGTGTACGACCAAGTGCTTCACTTTTCTTCCTATGGAGAAAGACCTTTGTGTGAAAACTGGTCTCTCTAAAATTTTGGTTTCCATAGCTATAGCTTTGACTAGCGCAGAGCACAGCAGTCCATTTCTGCGGCATGGTGGCATTGGGACACAATGTATTACTGCACTCCTTAAATAATTTGTAAGATTTACTACTACTTTTCTGTTATGATGCTGAATAGTTTTTAACTGATTTTAAATCCAGTTCACTTGAACCCCAATGAAAAAGACAACTATATAAAGTATCTCTTTCAAATAAATTGTGTATAAAGTGTAATACTATATCTTACGTCTTGGGGGAAGATTTTCACACTGGTTCCAGTTACTGATCAGGGAATAGCAATAAACGGTGTGTCTTTCCTCAGGTCTGAGCCCTACGTAAACAGCCTGGTGAAGATGTACGTCCAGAACCCACACAGCTGCCATGAGCTGTTTGGCTTTGACATCATGCTGGATGAGAATCTGAAACCTTGGGTCCTTGAAGTGAACATCTCACCCAGGTAATGTTAATCATACAGTGACAGGTTTTTCTCAAATTAATTTGGGCAAGTGAGTGTCAGTTCCAGTGAAAGTGACTCTAAAGCTGGCCATACACCTATAAATTATTTGCAGATTTTCTGTGGTCAGATGGAATAAGTGCAACAGATTCCTCCATCCATGCTAAACTGTGAATGGAGGAATCTCCCGTTGGGCCAAGGTTCAGTATCTTGCTAGTCGGCCCCACTGGCTCTCAAAACACCTGAACAATCTGATTGGATGCCGGCATTGTTCAGGTATTTTGAGAGCCAGCGGGGCCGACTAACAAGATACTGAAGCTTGGGCCAGTGGGAGATTCCTCCATCCACACAGTGTAGCGTAGACGGAGGAATCTGTTGCACTTTTTCCATCTGATCATAGAAAACCAGAAGATAATCTATAGGTATATGACCAAGTTTAGAAGAAATAAAAGAACTAATCTCCCGTCAGGCAGGAAATGAAATGTGTACAATTGGCTGTAAAGTTGCAGTCCAGTTTATAGAACTAAACAGGTCAATAAAATTGCAGTTAATGGGATCTCCGGTTTGTTCAGGCCACATAATGTTACTGCTTTGACCTCCATTTGTGATGGAAAAGTCTGCCAAATGCCCACTGAGCGCTGTGAACATTCCTGCACACTGACATTCATTTACCCTAATGTGAAGTCATTTCATATTGGACTACAGCACGGTCTCCACATGTTCACGCGTTGATAACATATGTCTAGATGATTGATGGGGCGCAGTGCTAATTAGCTTCTCTTTGACAGCACACCTGCTGGGCCCCTATGTAGCACAATTCCCCATCCTCTGCATTGTTACCTTGTATTGGTGACCCTTTTGTCCTTTTGAATTCTTCTGAGTCACTCTAGCATTCTGTATCTGGAACTTGTATTGAGTTGTCTTTTCTTGGCCCAGCTGTCAGTACATGGAAATGTACAGCAATAAAAATTATCCTATAGTCTTCACCCCCTAGCCCAGATATTATCTATAGGCTTACTGAGCTATGGCAGCCTTCCCAGCAATGTTGTACGGGGAAACAGACTGTATAGGAAGGCATCTATGACATGGCCTTGGCAGTGAAGTTCTTTACTTTCATTAATATACAGATGCATTTCAGTCACATAATTTGCCGTGTTAAAGCTGATGCTAAGCCTGGAATGCATGTAGTTGCTGAGCTCGCCTCTGATTGAATGTGATTGAACTTGCCTTCTGGATAGAGGACTTAGTTGTTTTCTCTTTTTTCCCCCCCATTTGCTGCAAGACAGAGATGGACAGCTGGTGAAATTGTGAGGGCCGTCTATACAAGTTCACGCTACCCACGAAAACTTGGGTTGCCCGTGATGTAAAAGCATCCATGTTTATTCCTTCACAAAGTTATATACAGTCTTCATGAATTCATATTCGGTCTTCCTTTTCCTAGTTCTTAACTAACCATTGCAAAATAAACTAGATATCAAGATGGACAAGGAAGTGTTAAAATCCCTTTTTTTTTTTCTGTACACTTCCTGTCCCAGTGATGCAGCGGGAAGTGGGAGGAAATATCTACAAAGTGAAGGAAATTCACCTGCTAGAGAACCATCACCAGAAATAAGTGTCTCAAGTAAAATATTTACCTACTCCTTTTGTTCTGGTACCAACTGCAAATTATTTTGGATTTCCCATGACTTTCTGTTTTATTGAGAATGGTCACCAGCTTAACCAGCATCTACAGCGATCATTCTAATTACCAGTTTAGGATTCCTCCAATGTTATCAGGCCTGGATGAAGGGGGGGCCCTTAGAACTCCTGAATGGCATTGGAGTTTTGTGATGTGTTAGTCTTGATTTAAAATTGGATCTGGACTATATACCCTCTGCGTTGGGGCTTTCCTTCTTGTACACCCAGTTTTCACTGCTGTTTAGGTCCCCACTAGGTAGGCTCACACTTTGTATTCGTCCTGGTGACCATTGTCATGAAGACAGAAAGTAATGGGAAATCCAGAAATTGTGCAGTTGGCTCCAGAATAAAAAGTGAAGGTAAATCTTCACTTTGGGACACCTGTTCTAGTAATGACTTACTTTTAAGCCTTCTTGGTACGTTTAACACAATATTTGGATGCATACCCAAACTTGATGTTGTAGAACTTTGACCTCTATGTGTTGTCTTATGGTAAGCTGCATTACAAATGAAGATTCACATCGGCTCTCCTTGTTCTCCTCACAGTCTGCACTCCAATTCCCCTTTGGATGTGAACATTAAAGGTCAAATGATCAGAGATCTCCTCAATCTGGCCGCATTCCACCTCCCCAATAAAGAAGATATAAGCACCAGCAATGTTGGCTCTGGAGACTCTGCTACTAGGTGAGACAGCGAAAGACCACGGCCTGTAGGACTTTGATTGTTAGCGTTGTATCTTGTTTTCTGTTATTGGTCATTGGGGAACAGGGGAGACGACCTGTAGTAGCCTTAAAGGGTTATACCCTTCCTCCAGGTATTGGCTCCCCTGTCTTGGCTTATTGCCTCCAGGAGGTAGACCGTGGATCCACTGTCCCATGCTTGCCATTTTCTTTTGCTTAATTACCTTAATGTAGAATTCCGTCACGGTTTAAGAGATTATGGACCTTTGGGTCTATTGTGCCTACCCCCAGGACAGAAAAGTAAGGCTAGGAAGCCAGTCCTTTTGAGGGGCTGTATAAAGCCTATAGAGCTGGAAAACTAGTTTCATTACAAATTGATAGTGGATCATTGCTATACGATAAATTTTATGATGTAATGTTATTGCAGTTATTTCCCTTTTCAGTCTAAAGCCTGCCGTGACTTGGCTTCATATCCTCAGAAGTCTATACTTGGCTTATTGCCTTTTCCTAATGTAGGCAGAGAACTTGAATTCAAATTGCAGACAGTTTGTTCTGTGGGTTATGATTCCTGTTGGATCTTTTAGCTATACTGAATGGGAGTTTGCAATACATGTAAAGTGTGCTCCATGTTTGTGGGAAGTAAAGCTTAAGAATTTTCTGTATTTCATCTGGGGCTGATCATGCCTTCAGGATAAAGGCAGACCCTCCACTTAGCTAAAATCTTTGAAAATAAGTTCTAATGTGTTGATTATGCCTATCATAGTGTCTCCAGAGCAGAAGCATTTTAGGATGGAGATTGGTGTAGGGGCAGAGACAGCTGTGAGCTGTCACCGGAGGCCAAGCCGCCGGTGCATTGGAGGTGTCAGCTGTCAAAAGAGACCGAGCTTTCCTCCCGCCCCGCCAACTCAGCCTCCTGTGACAGCGAGTAAGAATGGAGAGCGGGTACAAGCAGTCAGCTGACTGCTTGTAAATAATTAAGGACATTATATGTTTACTGTGTCCCCAATTATGAATGAATGGGAAGTGCTCTACATCACTTCCTGTTCATTCATGATTGTGGACATAGTAAACATACTGAAGGGAATTCATCAAAACTGGAGCAGTCAAAATCTGGAGCAGTTGCCCATGGCAACCAATGAGCTTCTCTCTTTCTTTTTCAAATCGTAACTGAAGAGAGAAGCTGATTGGTTGCCATGCACAGCTGCTCCAGATTTTGCCTTATCCAGTTTTGATAAATTCACTTCAGTAGGTTTACCATGTCCGCAAGTTTATAAATGAACAGGAGCACTCTGTGTAGAGGATTCCTGTTCATTTATAACAAGGGCTGCAGAAAAAGATTAAGGACTCTGTCCTCAATCTCTTTTTCTATTTCAAAAGGGAAATATCAGGGGGCTGTTTAGACCCTCCCCCCTGATATTTCCCAGAGCCCCAGACCAGTAAAGTTTAAAAAAATAAATAAAAACATTTTCTGTTCGGTTTTGATCAGGAAATTCAATTTTGGTGCACCTCTAGTTTAAATGGTTGAAGGATCCCTTTTGTTTTCCTTGCTGCCCATTTTAAAGAGGAACCAAGCTGAAACCGTGCCCAAGAAAGGCAGGCAGAGGGTAAAGGACAAGTCACTAGTATATTGCCAATGGGCTCCCTGAACCGATATTTCCTTATTACTGACGTCCTGACATGCCTTGTAATGTGTCTCTGTGTGGAGGCAGCCATCTTGGCAGAGGCAGGGCTTGTTCCTCATGTCCATCTCCAGCAATGAGAATATTAGGCAGCACAGTAGTTGGCTCAGCAAATGTCCTGAGACTAGCAGGCAGTGGCAGCAGTATTTTACAGGAGAAATTCAAGAAAAAAGGCACTTTTTCAGGTTTCTGCTCAGGCAGTTAATATTTCTAGATGTTTTATAGAACATTTCAAATTTTAATTTTTTTTTAGTTCAGTTAAACATTTGGTAAAATTATCTCAATACATAGAGCTGCCCTGGAATGCATTTTTTTATTTTCAATGTACAGCAAAATTGGAGTTTTATTAAGCATTCAGAGTTGGTAATATTGGTATGTTTGTTTGTATGGATGGAGGCGCAGGGCAGCTTCTCTAATAGCAGAACTTGGTAGGACAAACTGATGTCTCCCTTTGTCTTGTCAGCGTGTCTACCAGCGGGAAGGACCGCGGGCGCTCCATGGAGATTCTGAATGACGAAAAGATGAAGCGGGCACATTACCTTAGCCAGAAGTTGCCAGATAAGGTAGGTTTGGCTTTTAGTATTAACCTTGCGGGCATACACGGTCTGTCACGCTTATGCTACCATTAAAGGAGAACTATGAGGCTAGTGAAAATCACTCAGCCTCATCGTTCTACCCGACGTGTGACAATGAAACTGTCGCACGTCGGCTCAATAGATGGGGAAGTGAGCGCACATACCGTCGCTCGCTCACTTCACGTTCATGTCCCTGCAGAGAGCAGTGACTGTCACTCACGGCTCCCTGCAGGGATTCCCCCCTTCCCCGATCCTCCTGCGCTGACTGGCGGAACGGACGGGGGGTGGGGTGGGCGTGTACAGTTGGCTCTGCCTCTAGATAGGCAGAGCCAGCTGTCACACGCAACTGGGTGGATCTCTATATTAAAGTCCCGTCAGCCACGCCCACTTGCGCACGCGGGACTCTGCTTAAATTTTAAAACAGGCAGCGATGCCTGTTAACATACTAGCGATCCACCGGCTATAGAGCTGGTGGATCGCTTGCATAAGGTGCTGGTGTGTGCGCCCACTCCGTGGTCCCCCGTCCCGCTGGTCCCGGGCTCCACTGTGCCCGGTGCGAGCCCGAGGCCAGCATGGTGGCTCTGTGACGGGATCAGAGGGAGATCGGTACACGATGTCCCTCCTGTCCCCTCTCCGGTGTTAGAATGCTGAAGTGATGTATATTGCATCACATTCTGCTGTCACTCTTCAGCTTCAGAAGCTGGAGAGGAGCTGATGAAGCAGATCTCTGCTTCATTAGCTTCTTTGGGGGTCCCTAGGTGACATTAGGGGCTGATGTCTCCATAAAGAGGACCTGTCACATCTCTAGATTCTAGGCATCATCAGAGATACTTATGACAAAAGCAATGCCGTGATGTAAAGAATCATAGGTATCTATTCAGTGTTGCATTTATTCGCTTCAAATGCACTCATGTTGTCACTAGAAAAGGCTCGAGAAACAAATCTTAGTGTCCTTGTACCATTTTGTATTGCTAGCAAATGTTAGTGTCAATTATCTCAGATAACTGAGGATTACTCCGATGAATGATTTATCGGACTCCTGGAAAATGTAATAGCAAATTCAATATGTCAGAATCCAGAACAGCAGGAGAGTGTGTAGACATTTAGACCTTCGGTTGGCATAATGGATACTCGGAAATCGCTGGAATACAGTGGAAGAGATAATACTCGCAAGCACAGTGCTGTTATGTCACCATATAATCTGCTTGGGAGTAAAACTCCATTAGTAACATCCGGTAAAGACGCATAAATCTTCCATAGATTAAATCACATTTCTCTACAGCATTCCAAATCCCAGCATATTGAATACACATATCATGCAGCATGGAGTAACATGACCTGAGTACTGGGTGGCAACTTCTCATAATGTAAGAGAGTTATTACTTAAAACATATATCATTGAACGTGTGTCCCAGAGTACATTGGGTAGCCATAGAAGCTCTATAGTAAATACATAAACCAGTCCTGGTTGCGGTGACAATGGGGCTCCCAGCTGGGTGGGGTGAACATACACAGTTTTAGGAGTTCAGTACTGTGTTTGGTCACTGGCACTTGTTAAATTACCTTGTAACTTATTACAGCAGTGAATTCTCCCCCTTTTTGAGGGATTTAAAATGTTAAAGGAGAACTATGGGGTTAGGGCTTTTCCCCATAGTTCTCCTTAGGGTAACGGGAGGACACAAACCAGCGTCCTCCCGTCACCCTAGGCTCAGTATACCGCGAGCTGAGACGCTCAAGCGGATCCCGACAATTATGCCGGGATCCGCCCAGCTGCGTGACTGACAGCTGGCTCTGCCTATCTAGAGGCAGAGCCAGCTGTACCCTCCCCCGTCCGTTCCTCCAGTCAGCGCTGGCGGATCGGAGTGGGGAGGGGGGAATCCAGCCCCTCCCCTGTCACAGCAGGAGAGCCGTGACAGGATCGAGAGGTGAGCGAACGCCGGTATGTGTTCTCTCACCTCCCGATCTACTGAGCCGACCTGTGACAGTCTCATTGTCACAGGTCGGCTAGAACTATGGGGTGAGTGAAAAGCACTCACCTCATAGTTCTCCTTTAAATGTATTCATAGTATGTTCTGCTGTTTTGCCTTTCGGTTCTTTTAATATTACTGTGGTAGTGATTGTGAGCTTGTTCTTTTATTGTCTGTGAGGCTTGAAGTTCCATTTTTTAGTTGGAGTTGCCATTCTCTCATGTTCTGTCCTGGAAGATTCCCGGAAATGGAGGGAACTGTGTTTTTCTGTTGTACTGCACACGATGATAATTAACAGTTTGTGCGTTTCTTGTAGGATCTGTATGCTACGGTGCTGGACCAGCTGACCGCAGAGGATGTGCGGATACTGGCAGAGACTGAGGACGAGCTTTCTCGCTGTGGGCAGTTTGAACGCGTCTTCCCCTCGCCCATCTCCTCGCGGTATTTGCGCTTTTTTGAGCAGCAGCGTTATTTCAATATTCTCACCAACCAGTGGGAGCAGAAGTACTACAACGACCGAGAGAAGGGTGAGTGGCTGTCCTTCCAGTGTACCCCTGGGGTGTCTTGTGTAATGTTTGAATGTTGAGACCATAAAGCTTGTATTCTTCCCTTTCTAGCTTCATGTAAGGGTCAGTAGGGCACATCCTTGAGTTGGTGGTCTCACACCAGGTGGTCTTGGGGGGGGATTGGCGGCATGAAAACAGCACTTTGGTCCAAGCAGTCTAGTTTAAAGGTGTGTGCAGGGGATGCACATTGCAGCTAACCTTCACTAAATAGGCCTGCAGTAAAATGCTATAGTCCCTGAGAGATGGCAGTCAGATGGGTTCATTCTTAAGAGTGTACCAAAAACTGAAATAACTGTTTTGGGGGCACAGAGTCTAAACTGACCCAAATGATAACACTAGGCATTCACGTGGTTTTGGTGCAGGTTTATAGCAACGCGCAGTAATTCAGCTGAGCAGTGGGGAAGGGGACGGAAGGATTTGTTGCTCTGTCTATCGCATGCTCTAACCTTGTTATTGACGGACATTAAAGGGAACTTTTCGTGACCAAAATGAATGACGCATGTCATTACCCACCACCTGGCTTCCTGATTGCCTGGGAAGCCGACTCCATGCCAGCGGAAGCAGCAGTATCAGTACTCTGTATTGGCAAGTACCCAAAGCAAAGTATCGGTACTCGATACCGAAAAAACAGTATCGATGCATCCCTACTGCAAATGCCTCTTCAAATCAATCCTGTCTCTCTGGAGTTTCTAGGCCCCAACACCAAGTTCACATTAACTGCCTCCGGGCCGGCCGTAGTACAAAAACGGCCAGCCCAGAGCTCTCTAGATCTGAGCGGGCGTCTTTAGACGTCCGCTCAGATACGCCCCCTCACACGCGCGGCAAATGGCCGCAATTTTAAAAACAGGCAGCGGTGCCTGTTAACATACAAGCGATCCCCCCTCCGCTCCAAAAAACTGGGTAATAATAAATGTTTCCTAACATAATGTTAAAAAAAACTTTTTTTTTTTCAAAATTTTCAGTAATTTTTCCTAATTATAGTAAAAAATAAAACCCCCAGTGGTGATTAAATACCACCAAAATAAAGCTCTATCTGTCCCTAAAAATGGTATAAAATTCATTTCAGTACAGCGTTGCATGACGGAATAAACGTCAGTCAAAGTACCGCAGCGCTAAACACTGAAAAATGGCCTGGCCAGGAAGGGGGTCTAAACACCTGGTCTTGAAGTGGTTAAAGTGTATGTCCAGCTAAAGCTTATTTGAATTTTTGGCTAGAGGACAGAATAAATCCATGTTGTCACTGCAATGCAATGCAACAGTGTTACCATACAGTGGGGGCAGATTTGCTGCAAGGGGTCTATTTATAAATCTTCCACCCAACCCTAAGCTGGGTGAATGCTGTTCATGGGGCATTCCTGCCACTAGATGAAGCCAATGAGCATAGGGATTTGAGGCCATGTAAACATCCCAGACCTGGGATCGATTTTTGAAGGCTAGCACAGGTATGTGTGTTTATCACAGAGCACTTCAGCTATGTTACTGTGGGCACATTGTTAGGCTGGACAGGTTCACTTTAATGGTGAGGTTCTAGAGGCCGGTTAATCATTATGCTATTCATGGCCTTGCCGCTATCCTTTATAAATGCAGCAGCACAGGGTATGACTTTGGAACAATGAGTCCAGTCACATCCATAATGGTTTCTGAGTAAAGAAGGGAAAGATAAGGCAGACTGATGCTAACCATACATGACTTGATTCTCTGATGGAGAGAAAATTTAATAGACTCCCTCCATCCATGCGAACACTATGGCTTTTTGTCTTCTGCAGCTGCGGCACCATGCATACCCGGACAGTGACCGTCGCTATACAGCTGACAATTTTCCGCCCGGCTTAATCAATTTGATGCTTGCATACACTGCTTTAAAAATATGTCCCTTAAAGGAGAACTATGGGGTTAAGGCTTTTCTCCATAGTTCTCCTTAGGGTAACGGGAGGACACCAACTAGCGTCCTCCTGTCACCCTAGGCTCAGTATACCGCGAGCTGTAGCTCGCGGTATACTGAGACGCCGCAGTATACCGCGAGCTGCTGCTTGCGGTATACTAAGAAGCCGCAGCTGAAGCGGATCCCGACAATTATGTCTGGATCCGCCCAGCTGCGTGACTGACAGCTGGCTCTGCCTATCTAGAGGCAGACCCAGCTGTACCCGCCCCCTCCCCTGTCCGTTCCGGCCGGTCAGCGCTAGCGGGGAGGGGGGAATCCAGCCCCTCCCCTGTCACGGCAGAGAGCCGTGACCAGATTGAGAGGTGAGCGAATGCCGGTATGTGTTCGCTCACCTCCCGATCTACTGAGCCGACCTGTGACAGTCTCATTGTCACAGGTCGGCTAGAACTATGAGGTGAGTGAAAAGCACTCACCTCCATAGTTCTCCTTTTTAAGTTTAGTAATTATTATTCTATTAGCATTATTGACATTGTTGGGCCTGTAATATTCTCATCCTTTACTCCAGTTGGTAACATTGGTTTATTCTCTGTCAGGACGCGAACTGCTGCAAAGTCTTTGCATGATGAATTTTCACACGGGCTCTGTTCTACTTCCACACTCCCCAGCGGTGAGTCATTCTATCACAATTATTGGATGTCCTTTTATAGGCCTTGAAGTCTGAGTACGAAGAATGGTGCCACTTCCCCAGAGACACCAGTCAGGTTTAGAACTGCCCTGAATGTTTACATTTGATTTGTGAGTTGGATAAAGAACTCCATTTATTTATACTCTGATACCCATCCCAGACACATTCTGATGTATTAAGAGCTATACCATGGTGAAACTGCCTCAACAATATGCTACCCAGATCTGTTTTGGCAATGGGCGCCATTGTATTGAAACAAATGATAATTGTAAAGTGAACTTTGCAGGAAAAGGTGAGGTCCACTTATTGACCTAACCTTTACCTTACAGGTTCATTTTACACCTACTAATAGTAAGCGATTCATGAAGGGGGCTTGGGCAGTGTAAGCAGACCTTGCTTTTTGCTGTGAGGTCCGCTTTAAATAGATTGTGAACACTTTGAGGAGAACTTATCAAATCTGGAGCAGCTGTGCATGGCAACCAATCAGCTTCTCATTTTCAAATCTTAACTGAACAAACTGAAAAGAGAAGCTGATTGGTTGCCCAGCACCGCTGCTCCAGTTTTGATAAATTCCCCCCTTTTGTGACTGTCCCTAACACAACGCAAGATGATTTTTTGCTGGTTTTTGAGTTTTGTTGTATATTGGAAACGTTTGGAAGTTTTTTTTTTTACAGCCAGTTACAGAGAGAGAGAGTAAATGCACCGTGGCTCACTCTTGGCACTCTCTGATCCTTAAGGTGACTTCAGAAGCTTTTCGACACCAATAATAATTCAACAGAGAATTCTAGAACATTATTGAAGTGTGCTTTACAGCTTAAAGTTGCAATTTCGTATTGAATTCCTGAGAATAGTCGTCATAGCATTTTTACTTTTTGTAGAGGAGTCTTGCATCCGCTGGCAGTAACGTACAACAATAGTCTGAAAGTTTAACATTGATGATAGTTGGATGCAAAATGAGGATTTTGTAGATGTAGCTTTGTATCGGCTTCAATATGGTCTAATTGCTGGAATGTTCTTGCAGAAATCTCCTGTTCACAGCATGGTCCATCTGAACGGCTTTAACCGAGGGGACATTACAGCACCCAGGTGAGTTGTCTCTATACCTCTGTAGTAGTTGTTGTGTGGTGAAATGTCTGTGTGCCCTGCAAAGTACTGGTTCACTTTAATGAGGCGGTGTAGTGTAAAGTATCCCCTTATATTCAGGTGACAATGTTTATTAGCTTAGAGCAGTGACCAAGATAATTACAGAGAGGTTACTCGGGGATACAGGAGTTTTTTTAACTTGCACTTTGCCTTATTCAAGCCTGTATGCGATATTCTATAAAACTTGTTTCCATTTCTAAACACAATGTGGACACCTGACCATTGCACCTACAGAATATGGCCAAAAGTATGTGAACACACCACTGAAGGGTACTGTTAATACCGAAAAATACAAAGACATTTTAGACCATTCGCTTACAACTTTGTGGTAACCGTTCGGGGAAGTCCCTTTTTATGTTCCAGCATGGCTGTGCCCCCCAAACCAGCACCATAAAGACATGTTTTTTTCTTTCAAAATGTTTTTATTTGTTTTTTTTTGTGGTAACAAGTAATCACATGTTTACAGTAGCAGTTTTGGTAACATACCAAATAGAGTATACCATAAGGAGATCTTTCGCATTAGAAGGAAACAGTCCAACATTAGAGCTTATGAGGAATCAACATTACCACTAGTAACGTGTCAGTGGTAGCATTACGTCAATGGTGCAGAATCGAATTGCGGGTCATCTGGTTTTTGATTAGAGAGAGAGTGGGTTTGGAGGAAGGGGAAGGTCAGGAAAGGGGAGGGGGGAGTATAAGAAGTGAGGTAAAAGTTAGGTGTTAGAAGCTTCCTGATACAAGCATTTACAAGGTCAAGGACTCCATATCGAAAGAAGGAGGGAGGTATGACTCAATCCATGGTTCCCACAGCTTCCGGAATGACACCAAAGTATCTCTTTGGAGGGCAGTAAGTTTCTCAAAAAACATCACTCTCGCCACTCTGTGTTTTGACTTCAGCAAAGGGCAAATCAGGGGACTTCCAAGCCTTCGCAATGACCCTTTTAGCTTCCGTAAGTGTAAAGGTTACCAGTCAGTGTTGACGAATAGTACACACCGTAGGTTTTTTTGTGCAATAGGGCTTCCAAAGGGTCCTTGCTAAAAGTCTTGCCTGTGACTGTGTATATAAGTTGGTACACCCTATGCCAAAATCTCCATAAAGACATGTTTTGACCAGTTTAGTGTGGACAAACTCGATTAGGTTACACAGAGCCCTGATCTCAACCCTACTGAACACCTTTGAGAAGTGGAAAGCCTTCCCAGAAGAGTGGAGGCTGTTATAGCCGCAAAGGGCCTCCTCATCCATTGGAGTCTTGAACCTTGAAGTTATTCTGCTGCTTACAGCAGGATTGGACAATTGTGAGCAAAAAAAAAATGTCCTGGGCTGGCCTACAGTGGCCTATAACCCCCCCAACACCCCTGCTTGGTGGTTTCCCCTCCAATTTGCAGCTATCCAGCCTGCTTATCCTCAGCCTAGATTTTGGTTTGAACCGCATTGGGATCCCCCTGGTCTGGGCAATGTATGGTGAGCCCAGAAGTGACCTCCTGGCACTGGATTTCACTTGGGGGGGATTTCCAGACCCAGTTCTGGTTAGTGTAGCTACAGAATGCTTTTCCATCTATGTACACTTTTACAATCTCTGAAGACTCTTTTTTTTGTGAGTAGACCATTCGGGCTGAAGACCAGCAGCACCCTTTACCCCCCTCCCTTTATTAGTTACCGAGCACCCATATACCCCATCCCCTGCCTGTGCTGTGAAAGGGGTTTATGCCGCAGGAATGGGTTGAGTGTCACAAGTGTTCCTCAATCTTTTCTGCCATACAACCTCAAGGAAGCATCTACCCACGGCTGCTCCTGCTTGCAGAGAGCCGTGTGGAACTTCAATCTGTTACTGCTGCCAGTCTACGGTAACTTTCATCACCTTCACTCACCGATCCTCACCTGCTGCCAGCTCTCCAGGTTTTGTAAGTACTTGAGGCCTTGCCTCTTATCCTGAGCCTGTAGGTTGCCTAAGGGCCCTGTGGCTGCAACATGTGATGGGTGTCCCAGCTTCTCGTTTCATCATCTCTGGGTGACTCAGACCATAATTCTAGCTTATGGTCTCAAGTAATGGTACTTCCCTTTCCTGTTAAGGCTTGCTCGACAATGGCTCTGAGCGCCTCTTGGGCTGTTTTGGCATCAGGCCTCTGTTTCCTAGGTGCCACCGCATGTCTGTTCATTAATTTCTAGCAGCTGGACATTTCTGCCTATTCCGATGCCAGCTTTGGGCATAAGGTCCCTTACACCGTTTTTTTAGGCTGCAGGTAGTCTTCAGACCCTCAGATGTTTGGCTTATTGGCAGTTATTTGCTCAATTCTTTGCTGTGCTGCCCACCCCATTTGGACTGGTCTTGGATGTTCCCACAGGTTAGAATTTCTCAATGGACTCCAAGGAAAGACCTTTAAAGGAAGTACAAATATTCCATGTAATAATGCACAATGTTTTGGGAAGGGATGTCCAGCATAAGGTGTGATGGTCAGGTGTTTGCAAGCTTTTTGGCCACATAGTATATGTGGTTGCAATATTGGTAATACATGCATACTGTAGATTGAGTTGGTACATTCACCTATATGGTCTGTTTATTAGATAACCATGCAGTAGTCTACCTGTGAGGCTACCGGGTGCATTTCCTAAGTGGAGATCCCCCTTGTGGTTGCAAATATGTATATGAAATATCTAAAACACGGCGCAATAACCTGTGCAAATAAAAAAATGTTCTGTTGCACGTTAGCTATACGTGGCAAATTTCCTTTAGTCAAACATTTCTCCATGTATTTTTTTTCTTCCCTTGCTGCAGTACACAAGAAAAGCCAATCTCTTTGAAGACCTCATCGTGCCATCATCAGCCAGACCTCCCAGAGAGAACACGGTTGTGCCAGTCGCTAGCTAATGTGCCAGAGTCTACCTTGGTCATGTGATGAGGGTCCCTGCCATCAGTCCAGCCTCCTCAGACCTACACAGTCTACCTCAGTGGATCAGGAGTTCTAGAAAAAGGAGCAGGATTGAGTGCCGACTTACTACTGTGTCTCCGCAGAAGAATGCAATACTGCGCGAAGGAAACTGCACCCCTCCAAATGTGCACAGATATTTTTGTACACTTGTTCCATGCTTCGAATATAAAGTGCCTGGAACCTAATTGTAGAGGAAGAGAAGGCCGGAATAATTCCGCTTCTGTGCGATTACACCGAGCACCCCGGGAGTGAGTTATGTATGGCCTTTCATAGTGTTCTAGTCCACATTCTGCGGGGACCTTTAAAGAGATTCTGTCATGGGGGGGGGCACACTAAAACTGCTGCAGGTTTGAGGTGCGGGCTCCTTAGAGGTACACCAAGTCATCAGCAGCCTCCTAGTTCCTCCTGTCACAGCCTTGTGCTAACAGTTAAAGCCTTGACTCTTTCTAGGGGCTTTTGTTCGCTTTGGGTGGATTTTGCATTCCTACAAGTCTGTTGGAGTGCAAACCCCACTCGAAGGTGGTCAAATGCACCTTTCAGTGAATTAGGAATGATCTCCAAAGCATTACAAACTGATGTCAACGCTGAAGCTTGCCTGCCCTTTCCTACCTACTGCACCTTCCAATTGGCCTGTGAGGCTGCCCATCATAGTGATGGGCCCTATAGGTGATGGAGTTTTGCTTGATATGTCACAGCTGGGTGCCAGGTCGTTCTGACCAGCAATGCTTTGTCAGTTTTCATGGTAGTGATGAAGCTTTGCCACACCTTCTTTACTACTGCAGATACCTATTGGCCATAGAGCCTGCCCAACATATGATGAGTCAATGGTAATAAGTGTTGCTTAGACGATCTGTACATGGTGCAGCTTCGCCAGAACCGCCTGACATTTGGCTGTGACAGAAAGGTTTGTGGCCGTTGTTCCCTCCATGACAGAATCTCCATAAAGTGTATTTTCCTCCAGTAGTTAGTTTTTGTTGTTGTGGATGGAGGAGGGAAGGGTTAGAATTCCAGGTTTGTGCTGGGTTTGCAGAGGCATTTGTTGCACACAATGGGCATTTCTATCCTTTTTGGCTTTTGAGAAATCGACCAAAATGAGATTTGTGTGCCCAGCGTTCAGCTTTGTCACAGGAACAGGAAGTGAGGAAGGTTTGCCAATGGGGGACATTTGTACTGCTGACAACAGGGATTTTCACTCACTTTGGAGAGACTTCCTTTCACTTCCTGTAGTGTTCCTGGAGCAGGAAGTGAGGAAATCTCCCAGAAATTACGCAGATGACAAAAAAATAACTGAGTCTCTAACCCTTACCTGCTCTATCCAGAACTATAGATACACTTTAATCATATGCACAATGATAACGTCAGGGAGCCTTAGCACGGGGGTGTCTTATTAGAATGCGGCTGTTTGTCTGTTCTGCTGTTATGAGTGATTTTCTTTTTTTTTTTGCCAAAATAATATATATTAATAATAAAAAGTTTGTAATATTCATCTGTTGTTGCTTTACGTTCTCCTAGGATGTTATGGAGAGAAATAATTGCATGCATGTGACAGTCATCCTGATCCCTGGCTTCTCTACCTCCAGACTCACTCATCAGAAACCCACATGCAGGACATTAGCTCAGATTGCGATGGCTTTGTGTTTGTTTTACTACGTAGTGAAAGCAGTATTAGGATGACAGCAAATGGGATCATAGGAGAACTATGGGGTAAGTGTCTTTCCCTTTAGTTCCCTTATGGTCACCGGAGGACATATACTAACCTCCTCCCGTGAACCAAAGCTTAGTATATAGGGGGTTATTGCCCGCGATATACTGACAGCGCCGCAGCCGTGACGGATCCCGACAATACTATCGAGATCCACCCAGCCGCGTGAGTGACAACTTCGACCTGTGACAGCTTCTTTATCACAGGTCGGCTCTAACTATGAGGATGAGCGAAAAACACTCGCCTCATAGTTCTCCTTTAATGTGAACATGCAAGTTAAGAAATATGGAGGGTGCCATTTACTGAATTTATTTTTATAATTTAATCTCCAGTTAAATAGGTAAAAGAACACGGATTCTGAAATATGTATGTGGCAGCTGTTTTACCTACCAAGGACTCGCAGGTCTTGCCCCTCCCCCTGCCTGTGATTGAATATTGAAAGAAGAAGCAGCAGCAGACTGACCAGCTTATCTCTGTGTCACTCTACTCTCTCCTCCTATCATCATGCTCCTTGTTAGCACTACAGCAGATTGGCTCATTGTGCTGCTTCTCCAGTCTGAGCTCTTCTGTACAGGCACGGCAAGCGGCTGACACCAGGTCATTGAAAAAATGCCTTCATGATGTATTATTGATTACAGAGCTGCAACAACTTCTGTCTTTTATAATCGAGTTCAGCTTAGAATCCATTCTGCTGCTGTAAATTGGCATTGCCTGTAGTGTGAGGCTCTGGGTTTCCAGTGCAAAAAAAATCAGATTGGCCTATCGTTGAGCTTTACCACGTGATAGTTGTCAGCAAGTGGTTAACCTGTCCAGTAGCATCCAGGTGAAGATCCCTCATGTCAGTGTAGGCCTGTGGCAGTCTCTGTTGTTATCCCTATGGCTGGCAAACCACCTGACCAATAACCACAGAGACACTGAAAATAATTTAGAAAGCTACAATCCGCAGTCTTTTTTACGCTATTCCTTGGAATGAAATCTGTCAGCAGCTCGCAAGTATACAGTCCCAATATTGCAAAACAATCTATAGCAGCAGCACTTTCACCATTTCCTGGTCATAACCAGTTGACACGAGGAGGGAGACTATTCTGACTCGGATTGTTGTGTTACTGACTTATCCCTTGCTGAGACCTCTATGCCTGGCCTGTATAAGCAGATAGAAACAATGAGGACAATCCTTGTCAGATAGCTGAACTCGCCAATACCTTTTCATCCACAAGAGTTGCTTTATTCTGTACATCAGACAACAGGATAACAGCGAGGAATGGTTTCAGTATTATGCGGTCAAAAGATGAAGCTTTCGTGGCGTACTATGTGGAATACATAGTCCATGTGTCCTGTAGTTGCATCCATGACACAGGAAGTACTAACGAGGAAGAAGGGTGAAGCATATACAAAGGGGAAATGTGTCATCGATCTCAGGAAAGGAACATGGAAAAACAAGTGCATTACCACAAAAGGCCACTAGATGGCACCATATAACTTAATATAGAATAGCCAAAGGAAAAATGATTTAGGGAAACAAGCTATATAAATTCTCATTTTATCAGCTTCTTTTGGGGTCCATAGGTGATATTAGGGGTCCTAGAGACCCCTAATATCTCCATAAAGAGGAACTGTCAGTGTGCCTTTGCTATTATATAGGGGGTTGTTATCTATTTATATATTTTTTGCAAAGCACTCACCAAGTACTTTAACAAGGGGAAGGCAACCTTGGTACCCCAGCTATGAAACTTCAAATCCCATCATGACTTTGCCTCTGAAAGTCATGCCCCATGGCTGTCAGTTTAGCTATGCCTCATTGAATTTGTAGTTCCACCAAAGCTGGAGTGCCGAGGTTGCCTACCCTTGACTTAGAACCAAGTCCTTAGAATAGGAGTTGGCAACCTTGCCACTCCAGCTGTGGTGAAACTACCAATGCTGTCAGCCTTGCAATGCCTCATGGGACTTCAAGTTGCGCAACTGCTGCAGTGTTGAGGTTGCCTATCCCTGCCTTAGGATTACCAAGAGGTCAAGCGATGCTTCTGCAGAAATGGAGAAACCTCTCCAATGGAGAAATGATCCCGGCAGTGTCCTTTTATATTCATTTAGCTCCAGAGGTAGGCAACCTTGACAGTCCAGCTGTTGTGGAACTACAAATCCCATGAGGCATTGCACGTAGGGATGCATCAATACCATTTTTCCAGACAGAGTACTCTCCAATACCAATTGGCCGTTTTTCTACAACAATACAGACTAATAAATTTAGGGCAGCCGTAGAGCGCCAGGGGCCGGTCACAGATGCCACCCTGGTAGTTCTGCCACTTCAAACTGTAGAGCGACTACGCATCCCAGCAATGCAGCATACCACCAGCTATAGAGGACTACAAATCCCAGCAATGCATTATATAGCAATGCAGCATACCACCAGCTATAGAGGACTACAAATCCCAGCAATACATTATATAGCAATGCAGCATACCATCAGCTATAGAGGACTTCAAATCCCAGCAATACATTATACAGCAATGCAGCATACCATTATCTATAGAGGAATACAAATCCCAGCAATACATTATACAGCAATGCAGAATAATACCACCAGCTATAGAGGACTACAAATCTCAGCAATACATTATACAGCAATGCAGAATAATACCACCAGCAATACATTATACAGCAATGCAGAAGACCACCAGCTATAGAGGACTACAAATCTCAGCAATGCAGAATAATACCACCAGCTATAGAGGACTACAAATCCCAGCAATACATTATACAGCAATGCAGAAGACCACCAGCTATAGAGGACTACAAATCCCAGCAATACATTATACAGCAATGCAGAATACCTCCAGCTATAGAGGACTACAAATCCCAGCAATACATTATACAGCAATGCAGAGTAATATGAAGCTACATACTCTGTTGCTCACCAGGGCTGTGTGGGCAGTTGCGGGACTCCCCAGTGCTGTGCCAGGTCTCACCATGGCTCTGCGGGGGGTGTTTGGCCGGCACTGTAAACAGGCCCGAGAGGTCCACTGCAAATGCAGAATCTTACAGCAGCCACTTGTGTTTATAAATGTAAAGTGCCGGTATCGGGGCAATTTCCCAAGTACGAGTACTGATGAGAACGCCCGGTATTGGTGCACGGCTACCAGCCACAGGCAGGACTGCGAGTCCCAGGCATGATGGCATTGGTAGTTTCACCACAGCTGGCTTGCCAACTCCTGTTCTAAGGTCGAAGTCAGGGGTAGGCAA